CTCAAGCCCAGTACTCCGGGAGATATATTAAAACTGTAGGGGCCCCGCTGGGGCGAGCCATCAGTCACAGCTGTACAAAAAGCATTTACCAGAACAAAACAATAAGGAGAGAAGACACTATGAAATGGGAGGGAGAGAAAGGAGAATAAAGAGGGAATTGGGGATCACAAGGACAGTTAAGCCCCCCTCAGAAAATTCTTAACAAAGAAGAGAGGAATAAACAGACTATAAATTATTTACAATTCATTTTCAACAAACTAATGAATTATTAGTTAATATTTGACAAATAATTATAGCCAATGGGCAATAAAGCTATTTGTCTTTTAAATTGTGACATATTATTGTAATTTACATCATAACAATTAGCTGTAGCTTTAGGTCCTCCATCACGTCACACTGCGAGTAGACGCGTCAAAATTACTAATAATGGGGAACATAAATTCTCGCGGGGTAGACTGGGAAATCCAAGAAATCCCCAATTACTGGGAAGATACATGGGGGCTGCCAAACTAGTGAAAGGAATGGAATTTCTAAACACAAAATTTACAAATTTTCCACTAGGGAAATGAGAGGAGATGCACCTAGCGCCTCCAAGGCATGATCTGCATCAAGAAGATGCATATTGCGTACCTGGAGCTTGGTAGCAACGGGGGAAATTAGATTACTGAGAGGGGTGAGAGTTACGTGAGAGCTACAGAGTATATGGAGGCTGAGAAGATATACATGCAAACCTTTACGGGCTCACCATAGCCCGTGCTACATGGACACTTCGTTCGGAATAGCTAAATCTCAAACAAGAACATATACATGCAAACAATATTAGGGTTGTGGTAGTACAGTCGAGTTCGTTCTAGACGCACAATCGAGAGTTTCGGGTTCGAATCCCGGATGGGACAGAAATGGTTGGGTACATTTCCTTTCACCTAATCCTGGGCGGGGTCAGTAAATTCCGCCTTGCTAGGGGGGGGGGGAACTCGATAAAAGCCGAAGGTATATGAACACACTCAGGCTTTCTGTCCCCGACACAACAAATTATTATTATTATTAATATGGGACTAAGAGGCGAGATAATATAACAATCTGTGGGAGAATACAATGTTAAGAAGCATAAAGGAAAAACAGGATGGTGTGGGGAAACATTCAGAGAACTGATGACAGAATAGAACCAGAACAGATGCACGAGACAACACAGACGACCTGACACAAAAACAGAGAACACAAACATCCCAAAACTCGCCCAGATTGACACACAACACGACCCATAATCACCCGGCCCAAAGTGACACTTTATGACACTGTAACAACGACAAACATTAGTGCACTTATGAAAGAATGCACATTGTCTCCCACTGGTGGGGACAGGAAGACTGATTACGCTTACTGAAGTCTTCCCCCCCCCCACCCCTAGGCCAACCACTACCCTTTCCCTTGGATAGGGAAAGACTAATGGTTGTGCTTTACCTTTCCCTTTCCCTTCCCCCAACAGTCACCTAACTCCCGGGTACTTATTTGAACCGAGGCCTCAGATGAACGGAAATTTCCCCCAGTGGGTTTTCTTCCCATTGGGGAGTGTTATATACATGCTGCTATGGCGGTGTATTCTCTCACATGATGAGTGGCGCTGACCAATACTGTCACTATGGCGGTGTATTCTCTCACATGATGAGTGGCGCTGACCAATACTGTCACTATGGCGGTGTATTCTCTCACATGATGAGTGGCGCTGACCAATACTGTCACTATGGCGGTGTATTCTCTCACATGATGAGTGGCGCTGACCAATACTGTCACTATGGCGGTGTATTCTCTCACATGATGAGTGGCGCTGACCAATACTGTCACTATGGCGGTGTATTCTCTCACATGATGAGTGGCGCTGACCAATACTGTCACTATGGCGGTGTATTCTCTCACATGATGAGTGGCGCTGACCAATACTGTCACTATGGCGGTGTATTCTCTCACATGATGAGTGGCGCTGACCAATACTGTCACTATGGCGGTGTATTCTCTCACATGATGAGTGGCGCTGACCAATACTGTCACTATGGCGGTGTATTCTCTCACATGATGAGTGGCGCTGACCAATACTGTCACTATGGCGGTGTATTCTCTCACATGATGAGTGGCGCTGACCAATACTGTCACTATGGCGGTGTATTCTCTCACATGATGAGTGGCGCTGACCAATACTGTCACTATGGCGGTGTATTCTCTCACATGATGAGTGGCGCTGACCAATACTGTCACTATGGCGGTGTATTCTCTCACATGATGAGTGGCGCTGACCAATACTGTCACTATGGCGGTGTATTCTCTCACATGATGAGTGGCGCTGACCAATACTGTCACTATGGCGGTGTATTCTCTCACATGATGAGTGGCGCTGACCAATAAACTCGCCCCTCGGGGCAAAATTATAAAAAATTAACGTGCCTTAATTGTCCCCCACCACCCTGTCCGGGAATCGAACCCGGGTAGAGACCGGTTGTGTGCACGTGTTCGCATCCCTTGAAATGATCTACCCAGTGACAAATGACCTCATGGGGCATAGAGCCTCAAATATGTCCAGTGTGATGTGTTGGACACACCCGGTTAGTTCATAAACGTTCTTCCTTCAGCAAAGAAGCTCAAGGAAGATGACAGAGAGAGAGAGAGAGAGAGAGAGAGAGAGAGAGAGAGAGAGAGAGAGAGAGAGAGAGAGAGAGAGAGAGAGAGAGAGAGAGAGAGAGAGAGAGAGAGAGAGAGACAGACAGACAGACAGACAGACAGACAGACAGACAGACAGACAGACAGACAGACAGACACAGACAGACAGACAGACAGACAGACAGACAGACAGACAGACAGACAGACAGACAGACACACAGACAGACAGACGAGAAGCAGTGCCATTAGACGCAAAGTCTCCAGTTCCACTTACAAGTATTAAAATATGTCTCCACTCACCAAGCAAATCTTCCCATTCTCGCCCCCCCCCCCCCCAAGTTCCTCTGCACGACCTTATATACAACCACTTAAGGCAAGAGCCAAGAGCTAAATTAAAGGCGCAGCGTTGCCCCTTCTACAGCTCTCCGCCTCTGGCACTGTGCGAGCTATGTTGGTCCCACTCACTCCAGGAAGCTGACAAACAAAAGTAATATTGTCAATGCCGTAAAGCTGCAAATGGGTTTGTGAGAGACACGTGTGTGAGTACTCTTTATTATAGACCTGCACGAGCGTGTGCTTGCTCTCTTGTCGGACCCCCTCCCCCCCCCCCCCACACACACACACACGCACACACACCGTCTACCCCAGCCCCCGCACTCCACACACACACAAACGCTAACTACAGCTATCTGGACACTGGCAGGAGTGGACATGAGACGAAGCAGAAGCTGCGGGCCCCTGCACCATCCACTAACCTGGTGTCGTGTGCCAATTACACAAGATACAGCCTCTATTATCAAAGCTGTTAACAGTTAATGGAGCCTGATGACGAGGCGATCAACAGCCAAGTCTGTTTACATGACGGGGACGATCACCAGTCAATGCTCTTTAGAATTTAATACAAAACGTCAACCATTTGGGGGAGAGGGGAAAGAAGGGGCGGGTTTTACAGCGGTACCCCGTTAAAAAGATTCACATTTCATATATTTCTTCCATATTAGCAATATGGAAGAAATGCCCTTCTATCCTCCATCCTCCTTCTATCATTGGAAGATGGGTTGACTCCTGTGGTATACGCCAAGGATTAGATTACAGCGAATGGACTGGTGTACAGCTGACACTTTCAGCTTTCCCCTGCCACCACAGGAATGTTTGGTAGCCACGACATTGCTGCTGTTATGATATGCATATGCATATGAGTGGGATTGGGTGGTGATAAATAGGAGCTGCCTCGTATATGCCAATAGGCCTTCTGCAGTTACCTTGTTCTTATGTTCTTATATGACAATGTTGTGGAGTATGCAGACGAGGAGCCACAATAACGTGGCAGAAATATGTTGACCAAACCACACACTAGAAAGTGAAGGGACGACGACGTTTCGGTCCGTCGACTTGAGAATGGTCCAGGACGGACCGAAACGTCGTCGTCCTTTCACTTTCTAGTGTGTGGTTGTGAAGTAGCTCTAGATACCTAGTGGTGCTCCAGGGGGAGGTATTGGTGGTGAGGCAATTAGCAGTTGGGTATTACCGAGACCATTAAATGCAGAAAGCATCCATGCACTGCTTGGTAGAGGGGGAACAATCGGAAATTCTGTGACCCGGATTCACGAAGCAGTTACGCAAGTACTTACGAACGTGTACATCTTTCCTCAATCTTTGACGGCTTTGGTTACATTTATTAAACAGTTTACAAGCATAAAAACTACCCAATCAACTGTTGTTATTGTTATAAACAGCCTCCTGGTGCTTCAGAGCTCATTAACTGTTTAATAATTATAAACAAAGCCGCCAAACATTGAGAAAAGATGGGCAGGTTCGTAAGTGCATGCGTAACTGCTTCGTGAATCTTCAGGCCCGTATTCCGATGATACCATGAATATTAGATCTATTTATCTATTTATCTATTTTATTAGATCTATTTATCATTCTAATTGAAGCTGGCCTCCTTGTCAAGCCAAACAGGGAAATAGTTGCGTGTGTCCCCTCACCTTTAAGGTGATCAGAAAGCCAACTACGTGATTCAGAGCTTATCCCAGCAAGCCAGACGTCATTAGGTCTGTATGCAAATGAGTTTATATGTTTAAAATTGTCTATATGTTGCAGAATGAGCACTACAGGTCAATCTGGAAAAGTGCTGACACTTGAGAATGTTATAATCATTTCATACGAGGATTGAGCACTAAGTGTGACTGGAATTTTTGCATTTTATGATTTAATCTATAATTATAGTTGTCATTTGGGATGCGAGAGAGAGAGAGAGAGAGAGAGAGAGAGAGAGAGAGAGAGAGAGAGAGAGAGAGTGGGGGGTACTGGGGAGGGGGGGAGAAGAACAAGGGGTCGTTACAACGCACCTGAACCAGCTTGTTAGCGTCCATAAGACCAAAGGTGATCATCTCCCTGGTGAGGACGCCCATCACCGTGTAGAACTCATCGGCCGAGTGCACCTCGAGGATCCGTCTGTGGGGGCGGGCGGGGGATGAGAGAGAGACTGGTGAGTACTGCTGATGGAAGAATTAGTCTTCATTGCACAAACAAATATATGATACTACGGGACAACATACATGCACAAACAACAGGCGGTTAGAAAGGCGGGGTCCAAGAGCTAAGGCTCGATACTGCCCTGCATACATATATATAAATAAATGCAGTTCTTGCCTCAGCTCTTCACTTGAGGGGAGAACTGTACCCTCCTCGTGTACAAATACATCTCTCATTTAAAACAAAGAAGGGAAATAATCACTTAAATTCCCCCTCATCTATGACTGACAAGAACAAAACACTAAATGATAATTACCAATTACATGACCATAGGTTAAAGCTTTCATAAGTCGCCATATACTGGCAACAGGCGGGTCACACCCTGTGTATTGATCAAGACAAACAAAAAATGTATAAATTCAAACCCCGTTTTGATCTCTTGTTGCTACACCTTGAACTTCGGTATCTTGAAATGAAAAAGGTCTTTGGGACGCTATTCAGCACTTCAGGGGGAAGACCCACGCCCTGGTGATGAATGGGTTCACTAACCCAAGTCTGAGTAATGTTAGATAATGTGTGGTAATGAGGAGAACTAATGGGCTTGGAAGGTTCACATAACCACTAATCAATGAGGGAATAAACACGGAAGCTTGGTCGGTCGCATGCACACACATACACGAGGCAGCTCCTATTTATATCCACTCAAACTCATCTATTTATGTCTAACCTACGCTAGAAACCAGCAATCCCACGTCCACGGGGAAAATATGGAAGCAGGAACGCCAGTCAGACATCAAGATGGCGCCAGGTAGAGGTGATGAAAAGATCCGGATCGTATCAGAGCGAGAGATTAGATCATACCGTGGAGAGGGAAGGCGCCTTTGGAGCCGATGGAAGCAGGAGTATGCGGAAACCGAAGGAGGGAGACTGCCCCGCAGGAGCAGGGAGACTCCTGAGGGAGGGAAGCTAAGGTGCAGGGGAGGAGGGGAAGGTGATTTGCGGACACACAAGATGGATGGTGAATCCCGAGAGTGACAGCATCGGGAGGAGACTAATGACAATAGTCAAGGATGGATACCTGCAGGACCAGCCAACATCACCCGTCCTGACAGATGGGACTGGAGCCTGAACATAGGTGGAACTGACAGAGCTCGGCACAGCGGCCAGCCCGATACCCTCTCACACAAGTATTGCTCTCACAAACTTTCTTGATGAGTATTAGTGGTGTGCGTGTGGAGCTGCTTGTGGGAAGGTGTAAGGGCAGAGGAAGAGGAGATGGAAAAGAGAGGAATAAGAAGGAAAAGTGAAAATGCAATGGATTAGACAGGGTTACTTATAAGGCTGCATGAACGCGCCATAGATCACTAAAAACTCTATATGACCCGCCCTGGATTCGAACCCATGACGTCCAGGATCACCCCCAAAGTGGTGTAGAGTGGAGGAAGAGAAAGGAAAACTTTTCTTTTGTGTAATCAATACCCAGTTGGTATTTAGAGCACCACCCACAGTTCCCAGCACCACCCAGCAGACTCAGCTACTAAGCATTCCCTACACTACCTCGAGCCATCAATCACTTAACAACCCAGCATTCCTAGCAATTTTTTGCAATGCAGGTTATAGATACGGTTAAAAGGGGGGGATGGCGGAGGGTGATAGAGAATCAGAAAATACAATCTGGAGCAGACAGACAACAGCGAAACGTTGCATAAAATTGAATTCCACCCCGGAACTGCACCTGGTGTGCTCTTGAGGCCTCTGATCTTGTGTGCTCATCACGTTCCTCATCTGCACCTGGTGCATTTTTTTATTTTTTAGAGGCAGTGTTCCTTGCAACATTGCACTGAACTAGAGACGGAAGGGGCAAATGGATGTCAACAACCTCGAACTGGAACCCGCCATTCTGCCGGAAGAACTTGTGTGTTACGCCCCTCACACCCTACTCCTCATGTGTGTGTATATATATATATATATATATATATATATATATATATATATATATATATATATATATATATATATATATATATATATATATATATATATGCTTCTCTCTCGACAAAAACGAGACAATATATAAAAAGACTGAACTCGAGAATGACATTTTCTCACTACAGACCAGAGGTTGGTTTTAATATATATAAAAAGGCAAGTTCTTCCATCGCTATGGAAAGAAAATGTGTGGACTAGCTAACTTTGGGGAGTAATTTTGTTTGTGTATCTTTACATGAGAGAGAGAGAGAGAGAGAGAGAGAGAGAGAGAGAGAGAGAGAGAGAGAGAGAGAGAGAGAGAGAGAGAGAGAGAGAGAGAGAGAGAGAGAGAGAGATACTCTCAGCCATCTTTAACATTCACTTTAACAAACTGACAATGAGGTGCAGTACAAGGAGGGAGGGGGGAAAATAACAGGGAAAAGAGCCAAGCTATAACGACTATATAGCCCTTGGAAGGGATCAGGATAAGGATTTGGGGATGGGACGAGTGTATGGAATGATGCCCAAACACTTGGACGGTCGGGAATTGATCGCTGACTTGCATGACGCGAGACCGTTGCTCTACCGTCCAGCTCAAAAAAAATCAATAGAATGAAGGCGAGACAAAGATGGAGGATGAGGGAGAGGATGGAGGGGGAGGAGAGGATGGAGGGGGAGGAGAGGATGGAGGGGGAGGAGAGGATGGAGGGGGAGGAGAGGAGGATAGGGAGAGGAGGATAGGAAGAGGGGATAGTGTAAAAGAGTGAGAGAGCAGGTGGCTCACAATAACCTTACGGGCTCACCATAGCCCGTGCTACATGGACACTTCGTCCTGAATAGCTAAATCTAAAACAACAACAACAACAGGTGGCTCACCTCACAACACACTTTGTTTTCCTTCTTTTCCACTTCCCCCCTTTTTTGTGTCTCTTTTTCAGCATCTTTTTCCATCCCATCCAATCGCCCTTTTGCCTTTTTCATCTCTCTTCCTTTTTCTTCCCCCACACATTTGTTTACCCCTCCCCTCGTGGTTCTCGTTCACCTATCATTTTTTTTTAATTTTTGCCCCGAGGGGCGAGTTAATTGGGCAGCGCCACTCATCCTGTGAGTGGACACACCGTCATAGCAGCATGTACAACACTCCCCAATAGGAAGAAAACCCGCTGGGTTGTTCATCCTGTCACTTGTACCCACACACAGCTGGGACTTGCTTAATTGTCTCAAGTGAACAATTTATCAAACAAGAAGATTAACATTTGTCAACCCCCTTAAGTACTTACTTTATCTTGCGGGTGCAAAATTGGGGGGGGGGGGAAGGATTATTTTATGAACAGTATCTCTATTTGACAAAGTATTTTTCCTAACTCAAACAATGTGGGGTTTATTATTCTACACATATTTCTAATGACTCTTAGATGTTCACGCTCTACTATCATTGTTTTCCCTGTTGTTGTTGTTGTTTTAGATTTAGCTACTCAGAACGAAGTGTCCATGTAGCACGGGCTATGGTGAGCCCGGAACTAAGTTCGGTTATTAGCTATAACCTTGTTACTGTTGTTTTCCCTTTACACCCCCTCTTTATTACTCCCACCTTACTCTCTATCACAGTGGCCTGCCCTAACACACCTTCCATCGTCACCTCACACACCCGACAAGTGAGATAGCAATAACAGCATCACACACACAGGTGAGTACACAGCCTCGACCCCCCTGGGTGCGTCTGCCTTGGGGGGAGATCAACGAACAACCACACACAGACAGACAGAGCGAGACACGGACAGTCAGAAATTAAATTACTGTTTGACACAACTTCTCTAAAAAAAATCAGACTATCTTAGAGCGGGAGGGAAGGACATTTTTTCTTACCTAATGTTAGCGAGGTTAAGACGTGCAATTATAAATAATATGGAACATGTGCCAGGGAAGCACCTGGTGTTGACCCACACAAACACCGACACGTTCCTGGACCTCTGTTCAACCTAACGATCTCCACTACGGTATCCCATCGCTAAAAACCTATCACACACACACACACACACACACACACACTTATGTCGGGAGAATTGCCCAGTTGCTGGAAGGAGGCAAATGCCGTACCGATTTTCAAACAAGGTGATAGGGAGGAGGCACTTAACTACAGACCCGTATCACTGACAAGCATCCCCTGCAAAATACTTGAAAGAATAATTAGGCTAAGACTTGTTGAGCACCTGGAGAGCATTGGGTTTGTAAACAAGCACCAACATGGGTTCTGGACAGGGAAATCATGCCTAACAAACCTTTTAGAATTCTATGATAAAGTAACAAGGATAAGGCAGGACAGAGAAGGCTGGGCAGACTGCATATTTCTTGACTGCCAAAAGGCCTTGGATACAGTACCGCACATGAGACTGCTATACAAACTTGAGAGGCAGGCAGGAGTAAACGGAAAGGCCCTAGTATGGGTGAAGAACTACCTAACAGGAAGGAGCCAGAGGGTAATGGTAAGGGGCGAAAAGTCGGACTGGCGAACAGTAACAAGTGGAGTACCTCAAGGATCGGTGCTGGGACCAATCCTCTTTCTAATTTACGTAAATGATATGTTTACAGGAGTGGAATCATACATGTCAATGTTTGCAGATGACGCAAAATTAATGAGAAGAGTTGTGACAGACGAGGATTGTAGGATCCTCCAAGAGGACTTAAACAGGCTGCAGAGATGGTCAGGGAAATGGCTACTGGAGTTTAACACCAGTAAATGTAAAGTTATGGAAATGGGATCAGGTGACAGGAGACCAAAGGGACAGTACACAATGAAGGGGAACAGCCTACCTGTAACGATTCGAGAAAGAGACCTGGGAGTGGATGTGACACCTAATCTAACTCCTGAGGTACATATAAATAGGATAACGACAGCAGCGTACTCTACACTGGCGAAAATTAGAACTTCATTCAGAAACCTAAATGAGGAAGCTTTAGGGCGCTTTACACTGCCTACGTGAGACCCGTCTTAGAGTATGCCGCGCCATCATGGAGCCCCCACCTGAAGAAACACATAAAGAAACTGGA